TGCTTGCTAGGATGGAAAAGTTCTCTTCATCTGTAGTAGTTGCGGAGAAATCATGCGGTGATCAATTAATCCCCATGTATATCCCCCTCTTGTCCGCCGGTATTTGTCTCCATGCATTTGCTCTGAATGTTTCATAATGTTTTGTAATCATGTGGTTCACAGCAGACCAAATTTTATAAGATTTCCTCTCCAACCAAAGACACAGCCTAGCTAGGGACATAAATGTGTGACGGCAGACCTACTTCCCGCGTCTACAGAAATATGGATTGTTTCGATTCTGTTAAGTGCAACAGCTGACTTGTTATCAACACAAATTTTGGTCAGCTTTTACTGTTCGAACTGAAGATCTCTGAGCAAATTTCTCAACCAAACCGCATGAGTGACACCCGATGATGCAGCAACGTATTCGGCCTTACAAGATGAAAGAGTGGCTATCGGCTCCTTCGTTGAAGACCGAGTAAAAGCAATGTCGCTGATAAAGAAAGCGTAATCATTTTTACTCTTTCGGTCATCAACAACTCCGACCCAATCACTAATAAAAAAAATCTATTGTACCTTTGATGTACCGGAGAATCCTCTTTGCTGCCAACAACTGCGAAGACTTTGGATGTTCCATGTATACGCTCACGAGCCAAACACCACAAAGAATGTCAAGCCTTGTGCAGGTTAGATAGCGAAGACTACCGACCACGATTTTAAAACAAGTTGCATCAACTTTGCTTCCACCATCTTTCTTAGAAAAACTGACTCCACATTCAACAAGAGTACTCACATGATTTCTATAATTCAAATCAAACTTATCAATAATTATCTTTGCATATCCCTCTTGAGAGATAAAAATTCCATCTTGGTCTTGCTTCATCTTGACGACAAGATAATAAGACATGAGTCTGATGTTTGTCACCTCGAATTCACGAACCATGGAGCTTTTGAACTCCTCGAACATGCGTGGATTATTTCCTGTAAAGATTAAATCATCCACATACAAGCATAGAATAAGAATATCTTCAGCTTTATTTACCTTGGTATATAAAGCATGCTCATAAGGACATTTAGAAAAATTACGAGCTTGAAAGTATTCATCAATTCTACTATTCCAAACTCTTGGTGTTTGTTTCAAGTCATAAAGAGCTTTCTTCAACTTCAACACCTTTGATTCTTCTCCTTTCTTGATGTAACCAAGATGTTAATCTACATAAACCTCTTCTTCAAGAACACCAACCAAAAATACAGATTTCACATCAAGTTGATAGATTAGCCATTTGTTCTGAGCTGCTAAGGCAATGATCAGCCTTATAGTTTCAAGACGAGCTATTAGAGAGAATATCTCATCGAAGTCTATTCCAGCTTTCTACTTGTAGTCTTTGACAACTAACCTTGCCTGGTGCCTCTCAACTTCTCCTTTCACATTCTTCTTCTCTTTGAAAACTCATTTGACTTTAATTGCTTTCTTGCCTTCTAGAAGTGTTGCAAGCTCCCAGGTACCATTTTTCTCGATAGCCTTGATCTGTTCATCTGTAGCTGAACTCCACTTTGAATCTTGAACCGGTTCTTCCAAGTCTAAAGGCTCACAACCAGCAAGTAAGCAAAATAATGTTAAATCATCTTGATTTTCAGTTACTTCATACAACTCCTCCAAACTCCTAAAATTTTGAGGTTCTAGTCTCGATGATGATGAGAACAACGCTGAAGAAGTCATTGATTGGGCGACTGAGGTGTGGTTGGTGATGATTCCATCGGTGATGATAGAGTGGATGTCCATGGAGTATGTGTTTGAGCATCTTTCCCGATCCCAGTCTCTTCACTAATGAAAGTAATCGGGCAGCTACAAATTTCTCCCTTATTCCAATAGCATAATTTCTCTTCGTCGAATTGAACATCTTGGCTAATAATAAATTTCTTACTGCACGTATCATACATTTTGTAATCCTTAGTTCTTGATTTTAACTGATGAATACATATGGAATACTCCTCTCGCCAAGCTTATTCCTCTTCCTCTTCTACTCTAGAACATAAGCATGCCAATACTGCCAAACACCTTAAAACGGGTCACATTCGGTTTGTAAATGGTCCAGGCTTCTTACAGAGTAATATTTTTGAGAATTTGAGTTTGACATCAGTTGAGAACGTAGATGGTGTAAGAAATGGCTTCGGCCCAAAATATTTTAGGCATCTTCTTACTACTCAACATACTTCTTACCATACTCAAAATAGTGCGATTATTCCTCTCAGCAACACCATTTTGTTATGGAGAATCAGGAGTAGTCAGAAAATGACTAACTCTATGTTTTTTCACAATATGCTTCAAACTCCTTCGAAGTGAACTCTCCATCTCAGTTTGATCAGATAGCTTTAAGATAAAAGTCAGTCTTTTTTTCACATTAGCTTTAAACTTCTTAAACATAGAAAACACTTCAGATTTATTCTTCAAGAAGTATACTCAATTCTTTTGAGAAAAATCTGCGATGAATGTAAGAAAATACATATTCTCATCGATTGAGGTCAAAGTGATCGACCCACACACATCGGTATGCACAAGTTGTAGCGGCTTCGATGCATGAAATGAAGCCCCCTTTGAAAAAGTAGCCTGATGATGCTTTCCTACTAGACATCCTTCACATAGTTGCTCAAGATGATCAATTATCCATAACCTTTTCATCGTGCTTCTATTGGCCAATGTCTTCAGATTGCTAAAATTGAGATGCCCAAATATCAAGTGCCATATCCAAGCAAGATCATTGGTACGTGTAGACGGTCAAAATATACTTTCACTAAAGATCTAAGAAGTGAACGTTCATAGGCTAAACACTTTGAATGGGCCCAAAGTCAATCCCACAACAAGTTACAGTGAAGGTCATCTGATGATTGAAGTGAACTGTTTTCGTCAAAAGTTGGTTTCGTTGTGGAATTCATTATATCTTCGGTCAATTATAACAAATTCAAAAGAAATAGCCTTTTTATAAGACTTCTCTTACACAACAAAAGGAAAATTATAACTTTTTAGAAACAAACGTATGATCGTTGTTTGGATCACTGCTTGCGTGAGATCTTTGCCTGTGCCGGGGGTGCGTTAGCCCGTGGACCACCGATTCACAGATTCTGGTTGAATCGTGAAGGTTTTGGGGATTCTTCCTTCGTTTATCGAAGTAAGAATTTGAAGCGAATATCTTATCAATGTAAGATGTTCACTCTTCTAAAGATCAAGTCAGAGCTTAGATCTCTAGGAATCGCCAAAAGCTTCTTGAGGATGTTTGTGAAG